CGAAGCAGCTGATGTGGCAGTGGATGAAGGGGACCACAGGGTGCAGTTGGTGGGAGGAAAGCAGGTAGGGACACTCCCTGTCCCTCCCCAGGGAAGCTCCCAAAGAGTGTCCTGCTCCATTTCAGTCCCTGCAGCTCTGGAGGCAGCTGGAGGAGAAGATGGTCTTCATGCTGCACAGCAGGGGAGATGTGTTCACAGGAATTATGCAGTGGGCACTGCCGTGAAAAGTAATATGACTGCATGGGTGCCCCCCATGCCACCACACTTCATGGCAGGCACACAAAACACGGGGAACCCTTGCTTGGACAACAGGACTGTTTTCAGTGCAAAAAAAAAAGCTGTCAGGAAAGTCATGGGCTCAGTGAGCTCATCCAAAGAGCTGCTGCTGCTTTGAGGAGCGAGCAGCCATTTCCTGAGAGCATCACGAGCAGCCGTGCTTGGGTAGAGCTAAGCTGCTGGCTTTAGCCTCCCAGCATCTCTGTGGCCACGTGCTTGGCATTTCACGACTGTGAAAGACCAAAAGCATCCTGGAGGCAGGGAAGGGGCCAGCCCCAACACGCAAAGAAAGAAACAACCCATTCCTGCAGGGAGACGCTTACAATGGGGCAGCAAGAAGAGATGTCTGGGGCATCTCCCATCTCTGCATCTGTTTGGGTGCCAGCACATCTGGCCTGGCAGGTGGCATCTCCCCTTCTCTTTTTTTACCATGGGCAAGGATTTTGCAGGCCTGCGGCAGCTAGATACGGAGGCAGATGAAGAAAAGGGAGTATGGGTGATCTCAGGGGTCTCCAGCAGGTTGGGCACTTGGACCCTCTAGCAAGACCCCAGGCAGAGGTATCCCATGTGCAGGTGAGGTGAAAGCTATGGCCAGGGTGAACGCTCAGCACTGGTGTTTTAAAGCATTTGTGTTTGGATTCACTGTGTCCTTGGGGCAGGAGCCCTGCTGCTCCTCCACTCCCAGTGCCTGGACAACGTGAGATGGAAGCAGCTCCTGAGGGGAATGCCATCCCTCTGGAGATGCCCCACGCTCTACCCTGACACTCTCGGGACTGACGCTAGTAACAATTTGGGCTCTGTCTCTTCATGTCAGCTGTTACGCCACTTCCATGGGGACTGGGTGCATGGGTCACACCTGGGACTTGTTCCCAAATACAGTCCTTGCTCTGCCAATGGACCTCCCTTTGCCAGCCTTACACCCTTGACCTCCCAGCCATCTTCACAAGTCAGCCCCTGGATAACGAGCATCTTTGATGCTTAGGATGGTATTTGGGTGTCCAAACTGCCTATCCATCCATCCATCCATCCATCCATCCATCCATCCATTCATATACCCATCCCTTCTTCCCTCTGCCAACCAATCCATGCATCTATCTATACATCTGCACGGCTTGTTCTCTCAATCCACGCGTCCT